TGATGTATTTTTAGCTATTAACTATTTCTGTGTAGTAATTTTTTTTTCATGAAGTGTATATAAAATTAATTAATTTACTTAATTAATTTAAAGTTAATTATATTAAAAGGTATTCAGTTACTGAAACGGGTTCAGTAAGTAACTCCTTTAAACTTGAGATAAAAATGTATATTTCTTTGTTTAATATACTCAAAAATACCTTTTATTCAAAATTTTTTTCTATAATTTCTAGAATAAAAATTAAAAATAATACAAAAACATTTACATATGGTTTTAAAATATAATAAAAAAATTCATCAGTTTGGCTCGACCTGGCTCGATAAGGGTAGTTTGCTTAATATATCCCCCCCCCCCTAAACTCTCTGGGGGGGTTACTAAACTATTTTTCTACTTTGTGGCATCATATGATCACATGTGCATATAAAGTTAAATATACACTTTTTTCGACGACATAGAGAAAAATCGCTTTGGTTTAGTTCGGCCGCGCTTGATAAGGATAAAGTTTGTTTATCACTCCCCCCCCTCAAACTCCCTGGGGGATTAGTAAACTATTTTTCTACTTTGGGATGCAAAAATTGCATTATTTTGGCGAAGTTTGGACATGTATAATCACAAGAAGATATAATGCTGATTTCGAAATTCGCAATTTTAAATAATTTTATATAATTTTTGTAGGACTAGAAATACATACTCATTTTTTTGTAGGACATAGTTTCTTTTTATTAAAAATTCCCTAAAATATCGTTTGGTTTCTTATTTATGAGAAAATTGTACCCGTGAAAATGACATTTTTCCAGTGTAGGACTAGGAAAACCTTCTATTTTACGTGTAGGACAAAAATGTCACTGAATTATAATAATAATTACCAAGCATCTGTGAAAAAATTAGGTGGTTATTAATAACTTCTAAGATCATATTATTTTGACATGTTAAGAGTGGGAGACGCTTCGGAAAAACCATCGAACGTGTAGGACAAAAGTTTTTTAGAGTTTTTCATACAATTATCATGCGATTTAAGTAAAAAACTACTTGTTAGTAATAAATATTGATTATTCACCAAATCGACATGTTTGACACCCTCGCGCTTTATTAGCTACCGTTTTCGTGAATTTCCGTAGAGGGACAAGTTGGGCGTCTCGTCAAAACGAAGCTGTTCCCCAAAATTCAGCTTGTTATTAATCAAAGAAAAAAAAGGGTCTGGGCCCGTGGACTAATTGTCAAAAGATCTGCAGATTGGATTCCTTTTACGTCATTTTTATTTAACGGCTAAATCTTTTTTTAGCGTCTAGCAGTAGGTAATCCGTCATCATATTTATATCCCATCTGCATTGGTATTTATACGCTCCATTTCCTTTATGTCTTCATGAAATCTTTCTCCCTGAACTCATTGTAATTTCTCAAATCCTCTGAGAAATACGCCTCATGAGAATGTAAAAAATGTAATTTAAGATTCATTGAACAACCTAGGTTCCTAAAACTTTCTACCAAATTTAACACTATTTCTTTATAACTTGGGCTCTTGGTATTTCCTAGAAATTTTTCGATGATATCCTTGAAACAAAACCAAACTGCTTTCTCATTTTCATTCAATTTTGTAACAAAAACGGGATCTCTCAACGTCTCACGGATTTAAGATCCATCAGAAATTCCTTCTTTCAATTGAGGAAACTGCTCTCAGATATTTAAAGCAATCACCATCTTTATTTAGAGCTTTCACCCATCATCTACTTTCATTCTTTGCGCAATATTACTGGGTACTTATTTCCTCCGTTTCTCTGTCTTTATCAGATGCAGGTAAATATATTAAATTTGTAACGCTCTTTCTATTTTGTTTCTGTTATTCGTCCAATACAAATCGGTATTACAAAAATAACCTCTTTTTCACAGCGAAGATTTCTCGAATTGACCTTGAAATGACCTTGACACTGCCGTGGTAGAGTTAAAAAGACACTGGATTTGGAATCAGTAACCCCAAAAACTCCTTTAAACATAAACACACTGTAAAATATCTGTTATCGCTGCAAGCATAAAATAAACAAATAGATTCAAATATTCCAATGTTCATGAATTTTTTTCTCAGAAAATATGCTTCTAATCGAAAAATTGAGACATTTTTTACTTAAAATTTTATGTAGAATTCTACAATATTTTTTATTTTAAAATTTTTAATACACGTTCAGCCATATTGAATCCGCCATCTTGAATTTTGAAAATCTAACAATGGATTCGGAATCAACAATCCCAAAAACGTATAAGAATGGTAAAATTTTTTGCATCAAGTTTTTTTTCGCGATATGACCTTGCATTGACCTTCACCCTAGCCTGATCGGGTCTATCGGACCAGATACTTACTTTTTTGTGGCGCTGTGTTATTAACCTTTTTATCATTTCTAAAATATTTTTTTATAGAATTCTGATATCAGCAAAATTTATATTGATTTTCAGTTTTTTTCTTTCCAAAATTTGAATTTTCCTCAAGGGGTTGCATGAGTTTGGAAGGTTAAAGAAAACATATTTTCCTCTGTTTTTTTTAACATAACGAAATAATTTTTTTATACAAACATTTAAGCAATATTTAAACATTTTATAAAACTTTTATTTAAAAATTTTGAGAATTCAGACGTTGGGACATGAATTTCGAAGATCTCTTGGAAAAAAATAAATATCCTGGCGGTGGTTTAAAAAAAAAACTGAAATTTGAATTTTTGGCGGAGTTGTTGCAATAATATCGGTGCATTTGTTTTTAAGAAATCGTGTCCACGTTCTTCAATAATAGAGTTTTGAAAAAAACGATTAATATTTTAAGTAAGAATAAAACGGAGAAAAAAATTGTTCGACTGGTAAACCAGTCCTAAAAGATTTGTTCAAGATCGCGTCAAATTGAGCCAGTACTGCCCTGGATATTGACATTTCCTCAGGAAGCCAATGTTGATATTACCGAAGATTAAAGGAAAACTAAACACCGTGACTTATTGTGTACATATCCTTGATTCAGTTACGTAATAGTCTTTTTGGTAAATCCATAATTCACATAGTATTTGACGTTTTAAGGTAAATACTGCGGTTCGCGTGGTCAGTGAAAAAAAAAACATCCATGGTTTCAAAACCAAAATTGTGTAAATAGTTATTACGCAAATTTACATCCAGGAAATTAACCTCACTATTGTTTACGTATGACTAAGGAAATTCTTGCCCTTCTCGTAAATGTTGTGTATAAAACTGAATTAAATTTTTGTCACCATCAACCGC